CCCTCTAGCAAAACGATAATTAATCGAAACCACATTAACTGGAGCTACTTTTGTCTGCACGAAAATTATTGTTTTCTTCAATGTTTAGCACGAAGCGTGTGGCCAAAAACTATGTATATTTCTACAATCGATTACTATGTGGGTTGTGCATTTCCATAATTATTGAAAGAAGTTCTAGAAACTAGACTTCCTTATAAGCCGCGAATTCGATACAAGTCTGGATCTTTTTAAAGATAAACATATATCTTTTTCGAATTTGAAATGAATTCAACCGCGCCTGAAGAAACAAATTTTGTATTTGAAATTCCGACACGAAATAGGTAAAATTAAACGATATTGGGGGTTAAGTACCATATAATATAGGTTTGAGGTTAAAGAGCAAGAAAATTAAGATAATATGTGATACTTGTTTTTTGAAAATGTATTAAATATTACGAGTCAAAGAAGAAGAATTTTATGGACCAAATCCTTAACGGAATAAATAATTTGCCATTTTTGAATATTTAATAACTATTAATAATAATAGTTATTGGATTTTATCTATTTGGGAAACTTATATTTTTATAGGGGTGCCTTCTTGTCGTGTTTATGATCAACTAAAAATGCCTTAAAGTTACTCTTGCGTGAAAAAACCAAATAACATAATTTTTTATTTTTTAGAAAAGACCCCTATATAATAGTTCTCTGTTTCCTCTTACAGAACCCTCGCTCGAATTAAAATGACCTCCGCTATTCACGAATTTAATGTTTCGAGAAACTACGCATCAAAAGTTAATTTTCATCAAATGAGTTTCTAATAATCTATTAAAATATCCTGACACATTTCAATTATTGAAATTGTATAAATTAACCGTAAAATTATTTCAATTTTTTCCCCCTCTTTTTATAAAAAAACGATAAAATACCAAAGTTTACCTTCTCATGTCAAATTAGTCAATATTAATATTTAAATTAATTTACAAGTTACAAAGGTATTAATTTATACCGACTTTACTAAATTGACATTTGGTTGTATTTTCATACTTAAAATCGGTACTTTTCTTTTTAACAATGTAAATAAATAGAAACAAAAATAAAATGTAAATATATAGAGAGAAAAAATGAGAAAATTTGCACACAGTAAAGAACATATGTCGACAAGGGTTGAAAAATACTTCGGTTGAGATTACAAAGATTTTGCATAAGGATTACTAGGAAGTATGTATAATTTCTTTTGAAGAAATAATGGTGGTGTTTTTGTACTATATATATATCTATGCAATATACATGAGTCAGTTTTGCCTAATAGTCTAATAAACTTAATAAGGAAGAAAATGTCCGCGGAAGTAAAGTGTGTGATGTGCAAACGAAGAAAGAAGAAACGAAGCGTGTCCAAGAGCACGCGCGCGAGTATATATCCTTGAGGAGGTTCTTCCTGTGAATTGGAAAAATATATTGTTGGCGTCGATATGGCGACGAGGCGGACAAATGTGTGTGTCTTAAAAAACAGTAACCCCTCGGATATATATGAAGTTCACAAACCGAAACCAAAAATTTAAACCAATGATCATCGCAATGTATAACAGAGAGAGAGGAGAGAGAGCGGGGGAATTGTAACCATAGGGAGAGAGGTACAACCAGCACGCGCCAGCCACACGCCTCATACACCTGGGACAGTTGGCAAGCGAGGTTTCCCTCTCTTTTTTTTCATAGTCAACACCCGCGTCCATTCTGATACTCGTCAAAAAAAAATTTTACGATTCCGAGTCATATAACGATATGGAGACTATTTTCAAAAACAATATATATTTTTTAAATACAAAGAGCGGCTGACTAAGAACGCAGTTTAGAGCTTTATATATTGCACCAAGTTTCAATGATTCAAAGTAATAGTATAAATAAAATAGTCGAAATTTAAAAAAAATAAATTTTTATACAAAAATTATTGTTTCATTTAAAAAAAAGGTTTTGATTTTCCATTCGATTCTATGAAAAATTTTGTTAAAACCATACAATTTTTTTATAATAACATAGCTTCTATTACAAAAAAAATAAAATTATTACAAAAAACATTTTTTTTGATTCACATAACTATTTATTTGGCCTAAATAAACGTTTGGTTTATTTTAATAAATTTCTCGATTGAAAGAAAGAAATTGAGCCGAATAAACTTGTTGATTCAAAAAAAATTTGGTTTTTCAAAAAAAAAAAATTTCTCAGTGATAAAATATAACACAATTGATGTGAATTTATAAAACTTTCTATAGATATTAATCAGGGACAGTAACGGATCAAAGGGACATTTTTTGTTTTTTTTTCTTATAAATATCTTAGAAATTTAAAAAGAAATTTTTTGAAAAATTAAGAATATTGAATTAGCTTTGGAAATAAACTTTCCATAAGTTATAATATACCTAAATTATGTCCCGAGTTGTTTTAATCCATATTTCTAAATGGAATATTTCTAAATCCAAAATGGTTCCAAGGTGGATTACAAAATCCATAGATTATAAATTTATAGAAAGTTTATTTCTAACGCTAATTTAATATAATTTTTCAAAAATGTCTACTTTTGTATAAAATAAAAACAAAAAATTCCCCTTGAATTCGTTGCCTATGTAATTTTTTAAATTTAAGAATAGGACATAAACTACAAAAGTGAGCCCAAGTTTAAGAATAATTTATACTTAATTAAATAAAATTAATTAACAAAAAATGTTTTTTAAAAATGTAAACAAAGAAGAGAGAACAAAATATGAGAGTTTCAGAAGAACGGGGCGTTTCGATCAGCGATGCTTTCATTCGTTGTTCGCTGGTGTGGGCGGAGGATAGTCTACATTGAATTAGTATGTAGTAGTACAACATAATGGTTCACGGGAACTTCTTTATTTCGCGTATCATTGGATATGAAAAATTTTCACATCGTACACAAAAAAAATACATTATACCAGGGGGTCACATAGTGATATATATGAAATATAGAAAAAATGAAGGGCATTCAACACGAAAAAATTGCTAACGAGACCATATCCTCCTTAAATGGAAACTGACCTGTCTGTCCATCAAAACGACCCTTATGTCCTGTCTTTCAACTAAATTAAAATTTATTCCCTCTCATTATAGTTCAATTCTATATAGATAAAAAAAACTCATCTCATCATCTATACAAAAATATTAATTATTTTTCCCAATTAATCATATTGAAAAGTAATTAAACTAGTTTTCAAATATATTAATTTTTAACAGAAATATTTATTTCCAACCGGAAGTTTAATTCTTTCCTGATTAACAAACAAAAAAAGTATACCTTTGATTGATTAAGCCATATAAAAATTATATACAATACCATAACATCTATATTTCTCTTTATTAATTAAATTGATTTAAAGCGCACATTAGTAACGAGCATAATAAGGAAATATATGAAGAAAGAAAAACCCAAGAATAATTATGGAAACCGAAAAAAACCAAACAAAAAACCAAACACCTTGATTTTTATCATAATAAAAAACGATCGAATCCCTATAATAAGATATAATTCAATATAAAAAAAACTTATTTAAAGTCAGAATCAAAAATAGAAAGAGTTAATGCCTCCGATTGTAATGTTTGATATCAAAGAAAATATGTTTCTATAAGATGGAAATTTTTTCGTTATATTAATAAAATAACAAAGGATGAGAAAAAAAGAGTGAAGCATATTGAGTATACCTGTATTAGAAGATATAGCCACGTGCCTCGGTCTAGGAAAAAGTGTTATGGGTATACCGATCAGTGATCTCTTCTCGAGGTTAATTCTCTATGGTATATATAAGAAACGCGCCAGGGTGAAGGGTAAAAGACGATGAGGATGAGCCACCTGATTTTTTTCGACAGTAGTTTGGCAGTAGATTAAACCCTTGAGGGAGCGGGTGCCTGCTCGCCGTATGCTTCCCATATGTTCAAACTCCCTTTATATATATATGTGTGTGTTTATATTTATATATACATATATGTATATATAAATAGGAACCGCGCGCGCGGGTGCCTTATATTCCATTTTCTTTCTCGCTAGTACCCCTGGAAACCATCTCTCGGAAAAAGAGGTGAGTTACCAGTGACATCGGGGCTTAACCTAAATAACTGTGGATGTGCATGCACGTACATATATATGTAGGGTATGTATGCATATGCACCTGCGAGGGCGAACCAATGAGGCTTTCATAATACTATTCGCATGCGAGGTGCTTCCGGTAAACAAGAAGGGATAATGATATACTCTCTGCATCCCCACTATTTCAATGATTGATGGGTTCCTTCACAATATTAGCCTACATTATCCTTTTTATTCCCATATACGCAAATATCAACTGAAATAATCTTTATCCTACACAGAGAAAAGTGAGTGTTGTTTTTGTTGCGGCCAATTTCTTAATGGGGTAATTATGATGAGGCTAAAAATTCAAATTTACCTTTGTTGGGTAGAGATGGGTTGTGACGCGTCACTGAAAGCTTCTGATGTAAATCACGTATTTATTTACGACAAAAACTATAGCACACTAGTAAATTACAAGATTTATCTTGACAATTGTCGAAAATACGTTTAATATAAATATGTGTGAGGTTATATGTGTATAATAAAATAACTAAAATACTGTTATAAAAAAAATTAAATTTTAAAAATTATAAAGAAATATTAAGAATAAATAAATTTATTCTTTTAATAAATTTATTGAAAAGATCTCAAGTTAATCTTACAACATTTCTTCATTTAGTACTATTATCATATGAATTCTTCAATTTCAGAGAACTATTGTGATTTTTAATTTTTTTGAAACAATCCTTAGAGTTAGACACAACGAATCAAACAGTTTTCATAATTTTTTTTAATTCTCATATTTTTGCTATAATTTGTTATACAAAGATATAAATAAATTAGCTTACAAATGAAAAAATTCGTATATGTTACCTGAATATATATTTCTAAAGTAATATTAAGTAACATTAAATGAAAATTGTAGTCTTAATAATGTGAAAAATGATACAATTTGAATAAATTTATATTTTTTTAAACAAGAAGTATTGTTGCGATTGCGAATATGAGGTAAAGCTTTTTCGACATACATATTATTGCTTTTCATTATGCGTGTATACTGAAAAACGAAAATCCTCTTCAAACGAAAAATGAAACCTATAAAACAATGAAAATAGAAAACATTCATTTACATTAAAACATTTTTAAATGAAATAATTTTTCTTCATATAAGAATTATTTTTCATCTTCCATTGAAAACAAATCTTCTGAAATTACTATTTATGTTCTTTGTTAAAACTGTTTTTTAATACATAATTTGGAAATAATTATAAATAAACAAATTCTTGAAATAAAAGTCCAGAACGGTTGTGTTGTGTCCATAATTATTTATAATTCGTTAGTAAAAATTGTTAATTTCTATTTTTAAAGATGGTAAAAGAATTTTACATAAATATTTAATTACTGACTGGAATTGTTTTTAACATTTACAAAAATGGTAATTAAAGATTTTTACCTATAAATTGTACTTAAATAAGGACACGATACAAACATTCTGGGCCTTTTCATTTCCATATTATATATTTTAAAATTACCTTTCAGTGTAAAATAATTCTCCTTTAAATAAAACCAGACTCGAATCGTTTTATTCCGTTAATATATATAATATATATAATATATGTATATATAAATTTATTCAAATTGTATCATTTTTTTCATTATTAAGATTACAATTTTCATTTATTGTTACTTAATATTACTTTAGAAATATATATACTTTTTATATTTGAAATTATTGAAAAAATAAAAATCGATTTTTTCGGAAATAAGGATCCTTTTAACTGTTCAGGTCACATATACGAATTTTTTCACTTATAAGCTAATTTATTTATATCCTTGTATAACAAATTACATTTAAAAAAATTATGAAAACTGCTTGATTCGTTGTATCTAACCTTGAGGAGTGTATAATAAAAAGGACTAATGCAATTATTTAATTGTTATTAATAACAGTATTTTACTCATCTTATTATACACTCATAACCTCACACATATTTAAATGAAAAGTATTATTGACAGTTGTCAACATAAATCTAATGATTTAACAGAATTCTACAGTTTTTGACTTAAATAAATACGTGATTTACATTAGAAGCTTTCAGTGACGTTTCACAACTTATCTCTAATAGGGTAAAAAAAATTTCTTCTAAAATAGGTAGAATTGAAATTTTCTCCTATTTCCAGTGTTAAAATGACACCTTTGGGCTAAAGTTTGTTGCAGGTTATTTTAACACTGAATTCAGTGTCAAAATAACACTCACTTTTCTCTGTGTACTCTTGACACTATAAAATTGATTTTATAGAACAAATATTTATTTTCAAACTCTAAAATAGTGTGTGCTTTTATCATTATAAAATTATACGGCTCATACACTATACCGGAAAAAATAGCATTTCTGCACTGAGAAAAATATGCTATTAAATCAACAGCATTTCTGATAAAGGCATAAAAATTGATTTTGAATATAAAATATTATATAGATTCATATAGCATATGCTTCAAAATCAATAATTTTTATGCCTTTGGTAGAAATGCTGTTGATTCAATAGCATATTTGCAGTGTGTATTTAAAATAAACATAACATTTAATTAACTCAAATAAATTTTTTTCAGTGTAGAACTTTAACTTTACAAAATTTATATATAAAAGAAATAGTTTTTCAATTTCAAATATCGTGTTTGAATGAAAAGACAACGCGGTCTTTTCTTCAGTCTTGTGCATTTGTATGTAGTTCATTACACAGAAAGGGATCCATACATTTTTGTCCGACTCCCGCGAATAAAACACCGGAACTGGGTATATATTTATGAAGAAGATTGTTTCGAAATTTATCGCGTGGGAACTGCACAGAGGCGATATATACACCAGACGAAAGTTACTTAAATTTTTCAGAAGATAATGTTAAATATTATTCAATTATTAAAGTTTTTTAATACACATAATTTATGTCATCTCCAAAATTCTCAAAAAAAACATTAATTCAGAACAATATGCAAAATTTGTAGGTTAGGAATAATAACAAAATAATGTTATTGTTATTAATACAATTTTGACTTAATGATTGAAACAAAAAAAAAGGCCAGTATTTAGTTTCTGTGGCAAGAGAAATGATGAACTTTCTTTCATTTTGTATACATATCGCTCATAATGAAATTCATGGAAGTTGAATTTTTATATAGACTCCTTTTCAGGAAGGATATCCGGCAATTTATTGATTATTGATCGCCTTCCTGTATTATCCTATATATATATATATATATATATATATATATATATATATACCTCTAATATAAGATGACTCAACGCGGTGGTTATTACATCTCTGTTTTCGTTAAAATTGACTCGAGACATCCTGTTTAAATTAATGATCCTCGCAAAGCACATTCAAGAAATCTCACGCTAACTTCTTCTCCATTCATTAAAGCCCCCACGAAACGATAATACACTACTATAGATTGGTATATACATATATATACGTAATCTGAAAGGAGTTCTCGTCCGCAGAGTGGGCGTTATATTGGGTGAGTCTCAAAAGATTCGAACCCCCTGACAATAAAAATCTCACACACATATCCCGCCGCGTGACTCTTCGAAAACTCTAAACTTTAATATAACATTTCAAAGACACTATTCCAAATTGTTAATATAATAGATTCTATAGAGCACCTTGTACGATCCACGTAGGTGTTCTAATTTCATCATTCAATTTTTTTATCGATTCAAAGGGAAAATAGCATCAGGAAATATGGATCGTCATTTCCTTATGATCCACCCCTATGATGGCTTAATTTCATTATAATTATAATATAAACCTTCCACTATTTTTAAATGTCATCAGGATTTTTTAAATAATTTCTGAAAATTTTGTTTTCTAGAAAACAAAAAAATTACAAATTAACTTATGATTCAATCTGAAATTAAGGAAAAATTTCAGAATTACCTAGTCTTATATACAGGATGTAATATTCAAAAGACGTTGGCTAATATATTTATATTACAATAAGTGGCGGAAGTTGGGTGCAAAAGTGAAGAGAAGAAAAAGGAGGAAGAGAAAAAGAGAAGCCAGTGTGTCTGAAATTGGACCAACAAGTCATGAGATTTATGGTGTCGGTCCAATTATGATAGAGCTCAAGATCACGCGGGATGAATGGATATTTAACCAATATATACACATATGCGAAAAAACCAACAAACGTTTACTGATCTGACGCCCGAATCAGCGGATGTGGGCGGCTCCGGTTTTGGGGTACACTTCATACGCGATTAAAGCGATTACATCAACTTTCATCTTTAAATTTTGACCCTCTCTCATGGCCCCTTTTATATACATATATATGGTCAGGTCCCGTATCCAGGATTGGTACCTGCGATTCAAAAATCACCATAGGAAACTTGAGGATGAGAAGCAGACGATTCTCATAAGGGTTAAAGTTCTCTTTTTCTCCCAGCCGTATATAATATAGAGAAAGGTACTTTCCTTCTGAGTATATTCAAAGAAAATAAGTAATATTGTTCTTGATTTGTTTATGTCTTTAAGGTTAAGGATGAGATTTTAAAAGGGATTCTGCTCTGCTGGAGAGTTGGTCCCTTTTCCAGATAAGAATCTTAAAAGCTTTTCCTATGGGATTTAAATTTTAAGAGTGGGAAAAAATTGGAGAGTAGAAATTTTCAGCAATATTTGAATTCATTTAACCATATTTTACATTCAATTATGATTCTTATCATTTCTTAATTTGAAATAAATTTCGAAAATTTAGTCATTGAAATGCTTAAAAATTTTGATAGTTCTGAAGAAAATATTTCCCACAGCGAATAGTTCCTACAGTACTATCTTACTGTATGTGCAAAAAATTATTATTATTATTATTATTATATAAAAGATTATTATTAAAGTCCGGATATTCTAATTCCATCTCACATTTTCTACATGTTAATTATAAAAGAATGTGAGAAAAAGTCAGAATATAACACGGTTTATTTTATAAAAAATGATAAGCTAACGAGGATAATTTTCGAGGCGACAACAACAAATGACAAATACACGAGATCTTGATCGTTTGACAAGAAACAAGCAAGAATGAAATAGTACAAGTATTTTTTGTTATTTATAGGAGACAAATATGCTGATAGATTGGATTCGATAAGACTGTGTTGAAATAGGTGCGAAGACTAGAAACTGTGTGGCAAGAAGCTGATCTACTATAGGATGACACGATCAGATTACCGCAACATAATGTTATCCCTATAAAGGTCGCTTTTGAGAGAGTAGTCCCCACGGAAAGAAAACTAGACAAGTTATAATGTCTACTTCCTATATCCAAGTTCTTCGTGGTACGACACCCTGTGGTTTTTCGAATATATATAAGCTCTATGAAAAAAGAACCACAAAGATACAATCATCAGATCTTTCTAAATCAGTGCAAATATCAGGATTTTCAAATTAGGAGAAAGCTGTTCCTAGAATTTAAAAGCGATTTTTTACTAATATCAAAGGAAATAAATTCAAATTGTAGTTTTATTTGTTTTCTTTTATTTTCATCTATAAAAATTTTATGAGCTTTCATGGAAAAGAAACTTCGGATTCGAGTGTTTTTACCAAAATAAAGATAAATGGTATAATAATGTTAGTATGATAAGATTTTCCATTAAAACAACTTTTTTTAAACTCCAAAAATTCTTCTGAAGATAATAAATACTGTGCAGAAAATTTTGGAAATAAAATACCAAAGGGAATTTGACTCTCCTATACTAAATTCTATATAGAGACAATAACATTCCTTATGAATGGTTCAGTTGCAGTTTTTCTGTAAAACAAAATTCATACAGGTGTTAACGACATTCCGCTTGACACCCGATCATGGTCCTGACGATCAGCTTCGTCACTCCAGATTCCCCGGGTGGTCCAGTCCACTGTACCCCGATCCTATCTGTACACGATCTTTAGGTATATGCTCTGACAATATATATATACCAAATAGCCGTGCGAGAAATATTTTTACACTACCGATCATCATCACTATAAAAATTCTAATCGCAAATGCTTCTTCATCGCTTCCGAACATTTCCGCAAGCATTAAAAATTAAATGGCTACCACCCAAGTAGTAACACAAGAAACGTCAATTCGATTTAATCGATTTGAAACGAAGGATGTAATCCGGAGAGTGAGAACACGTAGCGATTCCCTTAGAAATTGGATATGTCGATCTATGCTCCAGATTGTATAAGACGTGTGTCAAAAAGATAACCTGCTTTTTTTCTGTTAATAAAGAAAACCCATTTTCTTTACAAATTTTGAGAATTTTTTCGACATTACCATCTCGTGAAATCTAAACTAGTCAAATTTATTTCTCATTCGTTAAGAAACATATTAGTTTGCACGAAAGTCAATGCGAACTTTAAAATATAAAATAAGTAACAATGTATAAATTTCTAACATCCAACAACTAATGTAATCTAATATACACATAAGTAAAATACACCCAAAATGTTACATAATTTAATTGGAACATTTTTGACGAGGGTTTATTTTGATATTTTAACGATGATCTTCGATGATTCTCAAATCCTTTTACGCGTTGTTTTGTTAACTTTTGAT